CCCCTGGTGGCCGTCCTGCGCCACCGCAGTCCTGCCGTTCCGGGCGCCAGGCCCCCCGGCGGGCGGCGCTGTGGGCATCAGAGGGAAGCATTTTTTCCCCCGGTTCAGTTGCAGCAGGTACCAGCCGGTGGTCGCTCCTGGGTGTCGCCTCAGGGCACATACGGCAACACCAGGTGTGTGGCCACAGCCCCTGAAGACCGGACCCGTCGCCGCAGGGACCGCATAGCGGTCTCGGGAGCCCCCTGGCGGCCGTCCTGCGCCGTCGCACTGCTGCAGGCCAGGGGGCTTCTGCGCCCTCGGAAACGAAGCTCCCAGGGACACCCCCGCAGTCACCGCCCACGCTCCCCGAAGCCGCCCACCGAACCCGGACACCACGCGGAGCCCGAGGCAAAGACAAGACCAAACACGCGAGTGACCCGCACAGGCCTCACTGGGGCCCACGCACAGCAGGAATGTCCGAGGAGGCTTCGGGGAGACAAATTGGACCCTGGACATGCGTGGGGGACACATGTGATGGGAAAGCCCAGGCCCGTGCGCACTGACCGAGTCGCAGATCCGCCCTGTGACTGGACCAGTTCACGAGCTCCCGCGGCCAGAGGTGGGACCACCGAGCAGCAAAACTAAGTCATGACAAGTAATAACCCAAAGTACAAAACAGGTGTCCCCGGGTCCCCGCTGCTCCGAGCAAGCCATCGAATAAAAACATCAATGGACAGAAGAGCCCAGTCTCCCTGCAGAAGAGCCCACGTAACGGGGCAGAGGCTCGGGCCTCCGGGAGGGGCTCGGTGCCCACCCCCCAGGTGTGGGCTGCACGGTGACCTCCTTCCAGGGGGCGCTGTGCCAAGGGGGGAAAGAGGCGCGTTCCCGTGGAGAACCTGACAGCACACCTCAGCCCGGTGACTAAGGTCAGCATCGCGATGACCATCCAGGTGGACAGCGTGTCCACACCATCGGTGTGCAAACCCCAGTGTCATCCCGAGGAAAACGTCAGAGAAACCCCACGGAAACACCTGCCCAGTCCTGGGAACGTCCAGGTCCTGAAACACGAGTCCCCAAAACTACACAGAGGAGCCTGAGTGACGACTAGAAGCCGAGTGGGGTGGCGGCTGGGGCCCTGGAACAGGGCAGGAAATCATACTGGCTGAAAGGTAAGGAAACCTGAATCAATGGCAGGTTTTAGTTAATGACATATTAATGCCAGTTCATTTGATTGAGACAAATGTCTCGTAGGGGAGAGGTAAGATGTTAATCTCAGGGAAACTCGCTGTGATACTGTGTACTGTCTCCCCCGTTTGTCTGTGAATCTAGAGCTACTCTAAAAGGACACTTGTCAAAAATTTAATAACCTGCCCGGCCGGGCATGGCTCAGCGGTTGAGCATCAGCCTGGGATCCAGGTGATCCGGGTTTGATTCCCGGTCAGGGCACATGCCCGGGTTGTGGGCTAGATCAATGACTCTCTCATCATTGATGTTTCTGTCTCTCTCTCCCCCTCTCCTTTCCTCTCTCTGAAATCAATAAAGATATATTTTTCTAAAAAAATTAATAACCTGAAAATAACAAAACAAAGCTTTACTCTCCAGCCCCGTCTCTGGCTGCAACTGTCATGGTTTCTTTTTGGTTATTTTTGCTGTTAATCCCCACCTGAGGATAGTTTTCCCATCACCTTTTTAGAGAGAGTGGAAGGGAAGGGGGGAGGGAGAAACATCGACATGAGACACATCGATTGGTTGCCTCCCACATGCACCCTGACAGGGGCTGGGGATGGAACCTGCAACCCAGGTATGTACCTTGATGGGGAATCGAACCCGAGGCCCTTCAGTGTGCAGGCCAGTGCTCTAACCACTGACACGCACCAGCCAGGGCGGTCATGGTTTCTTAGCACAGATTTTCCTGTCCTTGTTTTCTCAACTTCCCTGGTTTTTGTTTTGTTTTGTGTCAATTATAAAGTTGGTCTTGGTTTTTATTTCAACGTAAGAACATCCACTTCTTAATTGATTCACGTATTAAGCCATTAATACTTATTGTAATTGCTAGTGTACTGTCTTATTTCTGCCGCCATGTTTTGCTCTTTTCATTTATGATATTTTCTTTGTATTGCCTTCTTCCTGGTTTCTTGCTTTCCATTGAATAAATTTGGGGGGGGGGTTGGTTTGGTTTTTTGCTGGTTTAAAAGGTTATACTTTCTGATTTTTTTTTAAGACTCATTTTTATTTTTTTAAAACATATCTTTCTTGATTTCAGAGAGGAAAGGAGGGGGAGAGAGAGAGATAGAAACATCAATGATGAGAGAGTCATTGATCGGCTGCCTAGCCGGCAACCCGGGCCTGTGCCCTGACGGGGAATCGAACCCTGATCACCTGGATTCTAGGTCGACGCTCAACCGCTGAGCCACGCCTGGCCGGGCTAAGACTCATTTTTAATGACCTCTTTTCATTTACAGAAGTTGCTAATAGTCACATCCTCTCAACAAGGAAAGCACTTACCACAAGCTAGGCTCCTTGGTAATCCCACCCCGGCCCCCTAGTGCGTTGACACTTTCGTGGAATTTTAGCTCCAAGTAATTGCAGACATTTTATCTTCTGCGTTTCTTGTTGATCCGCACCTGAGGCTATTTTTTCCGTCGCTTTTCAGAGACAGTGGGAGGGAGGGAGAGAGGGAAACACGGATGTGCTCACATAGACCCGGTTGCCTCCCACGCGCGCCCGGGCGCGGGCGGGCAGTGAACCCGCCACGCAGGTAAGTGCCCTTGACCGGGAATCGAACCCGAGACCCTTCGGGGCGTGGCCAATGCTGGAACCACTGGGTCACACCGGCCGGGGCTCTTCTGCATTTGGACGGTCTCCCACTTTTTCAGCAGCGACTCTCCTCCCTGACTCTGCCCCCCGCAACAGCTCCCGGAACTCCCGTCTGCGAGACCCCCGTGGAGCGCGGGCTGCGCGGGCCCCGGCCCGCGAGGATCCCCGCGCGCCTCTGCCTGGAACTGTTCACGGCACCTCCTGCTCGCAGGAAGTTGGCTGCGTCGGGCCGAAGGCGCAGAGCCCTGCCCTTGGCCGCTCTGAGCCCCTCGCGGGCGCCGCGCCCGCGCTCCTTTGGGGGCACCCGCTCTTCCGCCGGCACTTTCTCCGCCTTCCCTTCTTTCCCTAGTATCGGTGCATTTGGCATGGTCGTGGGCGGGTGTGGCTTTCCTTACTGCGCCGTCCCGGGGGCCCGTGGGGGACTGCGGGCCGGCGGGTCCAGCCGGAGCCCCGCGTGGCCTGCAGGTGCGCGGGGTCCCCGCGAGGCCGCAGCCCGTCAAAGCCGGGGCTCGGGAGCCCCCTTGCGGCCATTGCGTGTTCTGCCAGCCGCAGCCCGCAGCCCGTCAAAGCTGGGGCTCGGGAGCCCCCTTGCGGCCATTGCGTGTTCTGCCAGCCGCAGCCCGCAGCCCGTCAAAGCTGGGCTCGGGAGCCCCCTTGCGGCCATTGCGTGTTCTGCCAGCCGCAGCCCGGCCCGCGAGGCTCAGGCAGGTGAGCTCCATCCCACAGGGTACCTGCGCCCTCTTCTCCCCTCCCGGCCCCCAGGCAACTCTGACGTGGTCAAGTCCCAGGGTCAGGTCAGCTGGCGGGGAGCCCGCCCACCTGTGTGACGCCCGTCTCTCCCAAGCGCAGAGCCTGTCGGGGGGCAGTGTCCTCGGCACAGGCGTGTCCCGCACGGGGGGCACCTGCATGCCTGTGTGCGGCCCGCCCACGTGGAACCTGCGTGCAGCGTGTGCTGGGCCTGTCGCTCCCCACACACGGCGTCTCCAGAGGCCAGCACAGCCCACCTCCTGGTCCACAACCCCTGGCTGAGGCCCCACAGTGTCTCACCTGCAGGCACCCAGAAACTGCTCCTGAGCTCTGGGCACGGTGTGACCTTCGGGGCCAATGAGCACCACGTCCGATGACCCCCATGGTCGGCCCCGTGCCATAGGAACGAGTGAAGATCCTCTGAGCTCTCTTGCTTGGCCAGGAGGACCGTGAGGTGCAACTTTCGTGGGTAAAATCCTGCAGAGCTAAATTCAGGGAAGGGGGTTGGCTTCCCGCCACCGGTCCGGCCACCGCGCATGTTGCCGTGTGCAGTTTCACGCGGCCCAGTCACTGCGCCTGCAATATTCCTTTTCAACCCGATAACAGGCTGAAAGTTTGTTTGGGGGACTTCCAGGGAGCCACAAAGGATGGTGCGTGGGCATTTAACAGCGTTCTCTCCCAAAACACCATTAAAATGAGAATCCCGACAATAGCGAATGCTTACCTGCCCTTTCCACGCACCCGGCACTGTCCCCGGCATGTCACATGGGCAGCTCGCTTAATCCCCACATGTCTGGCTTACAGAGGGGAAACTGAGGCAAGCCCCCAAAGTCTGTCCCCCATCCAGGCCGTCGGACCCCCATCAGGGAGCAAGCTCACTCTGAGCTCTCTGTGGCCCGTTAGGCTGGGACCCTGAGAATAGGGTTGGCGATGCCCGACTCCCAGGCGATGGGTGAGGCACCTGAGATCTGGGCGGGGCGAGCTCCCAGAGCACCTGAAGTGGGGCTGTCTCTCCAGCCAGGACCACCCCCTCTGGGACACTGGCATGGATGGCTGTCCAGACAGCTGTTATCATGTCTAGGTTTTGTCCTCTGACCTCTTGTCTGCTGAGGTCTATGAGGAGGTGGCATCTGACCTTGCCCGGGGGTAGAGGCTACAAGGACACCCAGGCCAACTCCCAGCTAAACCTCCTGAGGAACTGACCCCACCATCTCCACTTTCCTGCCCACTTCCTCGGGAGCTCACTCAAGTGGGCGTCCACCCCAGTCTACAGGCTGCTAGGTCCAGTGGCCCGGGGCTTCCTGACTGACTGATGGGCATCTCTGCCCACCCCTCCCACCCCAGCCCCACAGCCTCTCCAGCTCTGTGCTGGAAACTTCGGCATCTCACTGAGTCAGCAGGGGACTCGGCCAGCCCAGGGCTTTTGCCTGTCATTCCATGGCTCTCTCAGGGCCCCTCGCACCCCAGGCACCCTTCTAAGATGGGCACCAACACCCCAACGCCCAGGTCCTTACACAAAATTCTGATTTTTCCAACACTCCTGCCCTGCATGCAGTCTTCGTGTTAGTCACTCCCCTCCCCCCTGCCCCCAGGGGTGGCTCAGGCCTGGGTGACCCCTCACCTCCATACCCAGCAATCCCCAAGTCCCACAGCCCCGCCTCCCTGCTGCTCGCCACCCCCCGACTTCCTAAAGTGCTCTCACCAGGCCGCCCCCACACAGTGACCTCCTCCAGCTCCGGTCTGGTCACACCACTGCCCACTTAGAGCAGGATCTGCAGGGGTCCCCTGCTCTTGGAGCCCAAACCCAAGCCGCCGCCCAGGCCCACCCACTGGCCCAGCACCCACCACGCTTGGTTCAGGCCCCCACACCTCCAGGGCTGTCCCACCCTGTGGCCTCAGCACCCGAAGGCCTCCTTGGTCCTCCCTCCTGGTGATCCGTTCAGTCTGGCAGCCCCACAAGGCCGCCTCCCATAGGGACACGGACAGGTGCCCTCTGCCTGGGCTCAGCCAGGTAAGAGACCTGCAGATGGACTCCAATGCCTGTCCTCTGTGCCCCACCAGGGTGCCACGCTGCCTGGGCCAGGGCTGCTGCGGGCTCCACGCAGTCTGTGCCAGGGCCAGGCTGGGGAAAGTGGGGCCAGGCTCCATGCTCCTGGCCTAAGGCTGCAAGGGTCACCCAGGAGCAAAGCTGGGCCTCCTCTGGCTCCAGCTGTTGTGGGTTGGGGGAGCCCCTGGGCACCGGAGCAGAATCAGGGCCTTGGAGACACTTCTGGGCCTGAGATGCGGGGTCAGGGACATGGGCCCTGGCGCCCTGGGGTTGGGGATGGGTTAAGATATTCCCGAAGAGCAGAGTCAGGGCTATGGTACCTCTGGGGGTGGGGACAGTGAGATTGGGGAGAGGAATCCCTGGGACTGCAGCAATGGTACCCCACCCCAGAGGAGTCCCAGCCTCCGGGCACCACGCACTCACAACCCCTTCTC